TGGTCAACATGGTGAAACCCCGTCTCTACTAAAAATACAAAAAATTAGCTGGGCATGGTGGCGCGTGCCTGTAATCCCAGCTACTCAGGAGGCTGAGGCAGGAGAATTGCCTGAACCCAGGAGGCGGAGGTTGTGGTGAGCCGAGATCGCGCCATTGCACTCCAGCCTGGGTGAAAAGAGCGAAACTCCGTCTCAAAAAAAAAAAAAAAAAAAAAAAAAAAGCATCTTTGTTAAATAGTCTGTGTTAGTTATATACTAAATGTTTGTGTTCTCCCAAAATTTATGTTGAAATCTTAACCCCCAATATGATGGCATTAAGGGTGAGGTTTTAGGGAGGTAACTAGGTCATGAGGATGAAGGCTTCATAAATGGGATTAGTGCCCATATAAGAGAAATGAGAGCTTGCTCTCTGGCTAATATCCAACATACAAGGATACAATGATAGCCATCTCCAAACCAGGAAGTGAGTTCTCACCAGATACCAGATCTGCCTTAATAATGGACTCCACATCCTCCCTAACTGTGAGAAGTAAATGTTTATTGTTTAAGCCACTCAGTTTGTGGTAGTTTATTATAACAGCCCAAATTAATATAATATTGAAATGTTTACTAATAATTCTGCATTTTATTACTTCCTTAGTTCAGCAAGTTAAATTGAAATCTCCTAACCAGTTAGATCTACCATTTCTTGCTAATTCAGTTACCAATCAGCATGTAGAGCTATTACCAACTCCCTGAAGGACTTCTTTGCCCATCTGATCTATCTGGGAAGAACCGGGAAGTACAGACAATAAACATGTACACTTGGCAAATGAGTAGTGACAATTTCAAGTGATAAATTTAAGCCAATAGACTATCTAAAAATTATAATTCAGGATAATTGTTTAACAAAGTGTGTCATAATTAGTTTTAAATACGTAGGGGGGTTTTGCCCTGAAATGTATGTCTGATTTATTCCCTAAACTTTCACCTCAAAATGAGCATGATACCAAATCAAGAATTTACATAAATAGAAGGAACTCAATAAACTAGAAGCAATAACGACTGAATCCACATTTTTTGTTTTTGTGGTTTTTTTTTTTTCCCCCTGGCAGAACTAGCTGAGGTTTTATTTGGGACCAAAAAAAGGCAACTGAATTGTTCTGTAGCTGGAGGCATGGGTAAGGGGGGTTGCCAGGCGGTAAACTCCACTGAGGGTGGGCTGAGGGGCTGAGCCTCAGGTGGGTCTCCCATTCTCTGTGCTCCCCTGCACAGTAGCCTCCCTCCTGGTGTCTGGGGCAGCCGTAGAAGGGGCAAGCTGGAAAGGGCTGCTGCAGCTGTTCACTTGGACAGGATGTCAGAGGACTAGGACACCAGCTTCCCATCGGGGGCCTCAATCTTCTTCACAACCATGGCCCTGGTGGAACTGGTGAGGCTGAAGGAGCTGGAGCCCAGGCCATAGCTGAGGCCAGGGTTTGTGAAGCCTCCATAGGCCGAGCTCAGACCACCTGCATAGCCGCTGGTGGTCTTCGTATGGATACTCATGTTCTGCATCCCAGACGCCAGCTGGCTCTCCTCGCCCTCCAGCAGCTTCCTGTAAGTGGTGATCTTGATGGCCAGGGCCAGCTTGATGTTCATCAGCTCGATACTCACACAGCTGCCACGCCATGTCCTGCTTGGCTGGCTGCAGAGCGGGCTCCAGCTCGGACAGTTTGATGTCGGCATCCTTAATGGCCAGCTCCCCATGCTGCTCGGCATTGGCAATGGTGGCCTTCATGGAACCCCTCTGGCCTTTGAGGTCCTCAATCTCAGCCAGCTGATGTTCTGGAGATCTCAGTCTTTGTATGCTGCAGGACATCTCCATGCTTCCCAGCCAGCTTCAAGTCTGCAGCTCCTCATACTTGATCTGGTACATGCTCTCAGCCTCAGCCCAGCTGTGGATGGCAATCTCCTTGTACTGCACCTTGACCTCAGCGATGATGCTGTCCATGTCCAAGGAGCAGCTGTTGTCCACAGACAGCACCACAGATGTGCCTAAGATCTGGGACTGCAGCTCCCCACTCTCCTCATCATACAGACACCTGAAGAAGTTGATCTCGTTGGTCAGCCCTTCCAGGAGAGGCTCCAGCTCTAACTTGTTCATGTAAGCTTCATCCACATCCTTCTTGATGAGGACAGATTTGTTCTCCATCTCTGTACTCTTATTGATCTCATCCTCATACTTGTTCCTGAAGTCCTCCACCAGCGCCTGCATGTTGCCAAGCTCCACCTCCAGCTTCAGCTTCTCCTGGCCCAGAGTCTCCAGCTGCCACCTAAGGTTGTTGATGTAGCTCTCGAACATGTTCCATGTTGCTCTGAGCCATCTTCTGCTGCTGCAGGAGGCTCCATTTGGTCTCCAGCATCTTGTTCTGCTGCTCCAGGAACCACACTTTGTCTATGAAGGAGGCAAACTTGTTGAGAGTCTTGATCTACTCCTTCTCCTGGGTGCCCACAGCCTGGATACTGGGGTCCACCTCCAGGTTAAGGGGGCTCAGCAGGCTCTGGCTGGACCATGATGGTGGTGATACCTCCCATGCTGCTGAGCCCACCATAGCCTCTGCCCAGGCCACGCCGGAAGCTGCTGCTGCCCACTCAGAAGCTTCCAGGAGCAGATGCAGGCACTGGGCCTGCTCATGTAGGAGCCACTGATAAAGACCCAGGGGCCAGAGGTGGACACCTTGTAGGACTTCTGGGTCACCCTAATGGACATGGGGAGGCAGGTGGGCTGAACCAGGCAGACATTCCAGAAGGAGGGGGAGAAACTGCTTCTTGGTCTCAATCCACATTTTTTATCAAGAGGTGTTAGCTTATTTTTCGATTTAAGTGGAGGCCTGCGGCATTTCTATAATACTTAAAGGCATTTTTTTTTTCTGATTTTCCTGTTATATGTCTTCATGTCTCCAGTTTCATGCATACTTCTTCAGGGGTATACACTCTTGCATTTGACAAATAGTCCCTGAGTGTTTATGTGCCAAGTACTATTAGGTGTTGGGTATACAGTAGTGAACAAAACAAGTATATGGTTCTTGACTTCAGAGAGCTTACTGTCTAGGGAGGAATGCAGATTTTAGATAAACAAAAGTATAAATTGCAGTTATTTCCTTATTTATATTGCATCTCTGTCGGTAACTAATCGCAACCCTTTTCTAGGAGTCTTCTGTGTGTAGCTGGAGACATGAAGACATATAACAGATACTTCTATAAGCTTCATCATGAAAGCTACCATGATATTTATTCCAAGAAGTACAAAATATTCATCTATTGATATGTTGACAAGATAACTTTTATTCATAAGGTGGGAATTTCACTGGTAATTTGTTTTCTTGAACACTGCTTATGATAAAATCTATGATGACACATAATACACACATATTCCAGCTTTTCAAGAGAATTTTCTTATCCTAAACTCATTTTGAAAAACATTAGTGCTTTGGTTTGCAAATACAATGTTACTTCAATTAAATGAGTCTTTGAGGAATACCAGTTTCTAATGGAATGTCATCATTCGTATTTAAGATCTGTACTGAATTTATATTCAAGTCAACCTTCAGTGTGTTATTTCCAGGCGCAGCTTGTTTGCCACAGCCCAGCTGATGGCATATAAAGTACTGACGACTTTAAAGTTTCCACTCTGCTTCCTAAGTTTTTACCTGCCTTTCCCCCCACTACAATGTCCTCTCCAAAGTGATTCCTAAAGTACTCCAGCTCTTTTTATTGCCTCTCCCCCAAAGGAAACTCAGTTGTTTATATCTGTTAAACCTACTGACTTCTTCCATTTTAATTTTTTTAAAATCCCCTCTTTAGGCTTAAAAAGTGTTTCCCTAAGAAACATCTGCATTTTAAACATTTATCTCTGCACGTTGTTCTACTTAATACTAGAAAAGGCAAGGAGTCAAAGATTCTGAAGGAGTTTGTATCAGGGTGTCTCCTTCCTATCTCGTCAAGTTTAAACACACCCAATGCCTCGATTCGATTCCTTGCTTCTGACCCGAGTAGCTTCTTTACATCTCCCTGCACATTAGAGGTGTTATTCGTTATTTAAATACATTTTAAAATAATTTTCCCTTTGTTTTCTGAAATTTTTGAATACATTCTTTCGTATTTCGTGTCACTTTCTGCCTCTGCTAATGATGTCCCTGGTATCCTTGGAGAGCATTTCCTTTTTCAACAGTCACAATATTCCCTGTTAGCTGCCACGGGCCCCGCCCTCCTTCTGGAGTACTTTCGTACTTCGTGGTACTTCACACTTCGTGGTCAAGCAGCCTCTTAACTTTCTAAGACGAATTATCTAGGAAGTGCTATTGTCCCAAGATCACCAGCTCTGCTAAATTCCTACCTGCTGCAGGCGCTTAGTCAGAGATGAATCAGATTCGTCTAATGGGCCCCTTTCCTTTTCCACCCACCGTCCCTGTTGCTTTCCGCTGAGCCTCCTCAAGTCAAGTCATCCCAGCAGGTCCCAGCCCCCAGACACCGCCCAGGACGGCAGGGAGCCCTGCTCGGGAACGGAACTGCGAGTGTCCGACTCAGGAGAGAGCGAAGCTCAGATCTACTCTCTGCAAAGCGAACGGGGAGAGCAAGGAATGCCCAGGAAGACAGGGCACGCCCGGGGAGAAAAGAACGTTACTTTAACGCGGCGTCGACCCTGGATCCCTGGCATCTAGGGCTGCCCGGCCACGTGGATCAAAACAACTTGCCCTGCCGCGTTGCCGGGCCTCTCCTTCCCCTTGCCGGTTTCCCCTAAAGTCTACTTCTCCGTTGCTTCCTCCCCGCCTCTCCGAAGGCACGTGGTCCTTCCCGGCCTGCCCCCGCCGCACCCGTCAGGGCCCGGAGCCGGCTCCTCCTAGCATCGTTCGCTTCCCCTTTCCGTTCGCTCTTTCCGCCCCGGCTCTCCATCGCCCCTTCTGATTGGCCGAACGCACCGGAGCCTGGTTGGCCAATGGGCGAGCTGAGCTGGAGGCAATGGGCGTGGCCGCAGCGCCAGGGCCCTCAGAGCGAGGCTTCCTCCCCCTCTCAGCCGGCAGCACATTCCGCCGCCGTTGCCGCCGCCCGGCCCCACAGTTGTCTTTGCCGGAGCTGCAGTCGCGCTGGGGTTACGGCGGGGGGGCGGGCGGGGAGAGGAGAAGGCCGCGGCAGAGGCAGGTGAGAGGAGGAAGGAAGCGGCAGCGCGGCGGGCACAGCAGCTCAGGCAGCGGCCCGGTTCCTGGGAGTGTCGGTGCGGCGCGGTGGTTGGGGCGGATCCCGCGGGGCCCGGGCGGGGGAAGGAGTCACCGGCCCGGCCATGGCGGACAACGAGAAACTGGACAACCAACGGCTCAAGAATTTCAAGAACAAAGGCCGCGACTTGGAGGTAAACTCGGGGACGACGCCGGAGGGGTGGGGGCCGTGGGCCTGGGGCCGGTCTCCGCCGGGACCCCGCGTGTGGGGAGTAGGGACGGGAGCCGCCTCCGGGCCTCGGGGAATGGCGCTGGGGGCCGGCCGGTCCGTGACGCCTCTGCCAACGCGCCGGGAAGTTTATGTTGGGCCTGCTCCGCCTCTGCCTGGAAGCGAGGTGCCCGGGTACGGCCGTCGCGGCCTAGGCCTGCCCGGCGGAGCCGGCCCGGCGCGGGTGCGAGGGGCCGGGCCGGGCCGGGCCGCGCGGCGGGAAGGCCGGGCGCGGCGCGTGCGGAGGAGGCGTGCGTGTGCGGCCCGCGCTGCCCCAGCCGGGCCGCGGCCCCCTCCCCGGCAGCGGCGGAGATTCCTGCTCTCTGGGGCACCGACGTCTGGCGCCGCGGGAAGGAGGGCGGTGGGGGTGGGAGGGTGAGCGTGTGGCTACCGAGTGGGGCTCTGAACTTCCTCAGCGAGGCCCGAGGCGTCTCCACTTAAAGGCATTTTTTCTGGTCTTCCCGACTCCCGCTTTACCCCTGCCTCCCCCCAATATCCAAACTACAGGAGTCAACTTCTCCGTTGAAAAAAACACCCCCGGCGTGAGAGGCCATCCTGGTGATGCTTACAGTGCCTTCCAGCGGCCTGTGTTTTACTCTGGATATAGCTGATTCAAGATGTGGCTCACGGTGTGCCCTCTTCCAGGCAAAGGATACCCCTTATTTCAGCTTGTCCACAAATCTCTTTACCCCCTCCTGAGAGGAGACCACCAGCTGCATTCTTACATATAAAGTCCAAAGGGTTATACAAAGCTGTCATCCTCTAGTCTACAGTATCCTTTCCCTCCACCTGCTGGTGGTGGTAGTGGGGGATGGGGTGGGCTAAGGAATGGCACCATCACGTTTGATTATTTAAAAAGAAAAAAAAAGCTTCATTGTTTTAGATACAGCTGCTCCCGAGATTCTCAGTCTACGTAAGGTGTATGGGTTAAACACACATGCACACAAGCATACCCACACACCCCACTGAAATTTTTGATAGAAGACTTCTTCCCTTCAGCTTTAAGAGTTTAGGTAAATAGATTTTTTTTTTTTTAACTACTTCCTTTCTGCATCTTAATCACGAGTTTAGCTCTTTAGAGAAAGTGGTCAAGCAGTATTTTTTTATGTTCTTCGGTACCTTTTTGGTAGTGAAATCTTCAACTTCCCATGGCATGTTTCTCAACATGAGCATTTGCTTGACTAAGATATTTTTTTTGGGCCTTTCACAAACCTGTTAATATTATCTTGAAAGTAATTTATGCCGTTTTAGTGGATTTCATAATTTGAGGGACTACTAAGTGTCCAGAGCTGCTACTTCTGTGATTCTTTTAAGGTTAACATTATTGTTGTGATCCTTTTTTTTTAATGCAAAAGTATAACTTTTTTATTGAGATAATTCGCATGCCATAAAAATGAGTTTAAATAACAGTGATTTTCAGTAAATTTACTTGGTTATGAAAGAATGTGCTGAATATGTTTTCTATTAATATGCATATTTACTTAGAATGAGAAAAAATCACAAATGAGGAAACTTAAAATTACAGAATCCAGAAAAATAGCAATTAGGTGCTTGGCAAATCCTTACAACCCTTTCTTCTTCCACATTTCTGGCTTCATTTTTCTAGCAACTTCACTGAGATGCAATTCACCCACCTAACGTGGCTTTTTAGTGTATTCATATTGTTTTGCAACCATCACCACAATCAATCTTAGAACATTATCACCACCCCAAAAAGAAACCTGTGCTCATTAACAGTCAGTCTCCAATTCCCAACAACCCCAGCCCAAGGCAACCAGTTTCTGTCTTTTTAGATTTGCCTATCCTGGACATTCTATATAAATGGGATTGTACAATTTGTACTTTTTTTAACTGGCTTCTTTCAGATAGTCTATTTGTTTTCAAGCTGTATCCATGTTGTAACAAGAATGTATCAGTGTGTCATTCCTTCTTATGGCCAACTGATCCTCCAGCTCATGGATATACCACATTTTACTTATCCATTCATCAGTTAATGGACATTTTCATTGTTTCCAGTTTTTTGGCTATTTTACATGTTACTGCTAAGAACATTTTTGTATGGACGTACGTTTTATTTCTCTTGGCTGTATACCTAGGAATAGAATTGCAAGATCATATGGAAACTTACATTCAACCTTTTATGGAATTGCTAGGCTTTCTGAAGTTATCCTTATTTTTTTAATTGATGTTTCCTCTTAACTGCATATCTGTCAGCACTTTAGTCAAGATCAGATTAAGTGTCGAGTCTGTATTACACGAATATTGTGATGTGTGACTTTAACAAAATAAGTATATGTTGACATTAGCCAGGTTTGTTTTGTTTGTTTGTTTTTTAGAAATTCATAGTGCCTTATGGTTGTCCTCTGGTGACTTTGAAATCCTTGTATGTACATTAGGAGTAGGAATATTTTCACTTTCCCACCTAAGGAAATAACATATGACTCTGATGGAAAGTCCTACATTGTCCACACTGTGACTTACTCAAAATCACGTATACTTGGAATGAGATAGAAGCATCCTTTTTTATACTTTGAGAGCACTACAGTGCTCTATTTTGTGTATTTGTTACTTACATTTATGCCTGTATCTCTCTAAACACTTACCACCCTTTAGGTATGGTTACTACATTGTGTTACATAATGTGTGTAGAATATAGCAAATTCTAAGAAAATAATTGCTTTTTGATGTAGATCTCATGATGGCATCTATTCCATTGGAGGTCTTTGGAAAGAAGTACGGACCAGTGCTGGTCCAATGAATTTAACTTAATCTAGTGTATCCAAAATACCATTGCAACATCCAATTTGTGTAAAATAATTGACATGTTTTATATTATTCCTTTTATACTTCAAAATCCATAATTTTACAGTTATGGCATACCTCCACTTGGACTAGGTGCATTTCAAGTGATTAATAGCCACATGCGGCTAGGGGCTACCTTATTGGAACAGCCCATGTACAAGGAACAGCATTTAGGGAGAGGTAATTGTAGCATATTTTGGTCTAACAGTTTATTTGATTAGAAATGATAAAGAGTACAAAGTCCTAGAGTTTAGTTTAATCTGATCACTAACTTTGTATATGACCTTGGGGAAAATCGTTTAGTCTTATGGTTCTTTCATCTGTAAAACTAGAGGTACTTGACATCTGCTTCATGAGTGTTGTGAAGATTAATAGGTAATGTTGGAAGATGCCTGGCAATTCTCTGAGTGTTTTATCACCTCCAAGCTTTTCTGTTTGTGGAGAGGGAAGGGATTTAATAGGATTCAGTATAATTGATTCTTTGACTCCCTTATTTGCAGTGGCTGTTTTTTCTCTCTGTTGTATAACTGGTTACATTGAACAATTAATAGGGAAAGGTTTTAATACAGAGAGATGTAATTGCTCATTGAAGGGCAGTTTAGACACACCAAATTATTGATCCTTTTAAACTTATAATTTCTGAGTGTTAGAGTTGAAAGTTATTCATAGATTTGAATCTGTTATTTGTTCCTACCATTCTCTACCGTTCGGGCTCCTCTAAAATGTGGTCATACTAAGTTTCTTGAAAGACAAAAGTATCAAAGAAGGCATTTGTTGAGTATCCATTTAAAATAATTTTCAGAAACTATCAGATGATATCCACCAAGGCATGGCTGCTTGTTACAGCGTAGTAGAAGATCCCCAGTGTTAGTTTGAGAATAGTCACCGTAGAAAAGAGGGTATACAGTGCAACACAAGAAATGGATAGTGACCAGATTTCAAATTAAAAATTTGTCAGGATAAAGTAGATTAAACTCATACAATTTGTTTTTAAAAGTAGAGGGGAATTTTCTCGTAGATTTCCTAATAAACCTGCATACTTGAAACCTGAAAGTTTTGAGTGTCTAGGTTCAAATAGAGCATAAAATATAACTAGATCTTTTGAAAACATAACTTACCCTAAATATAAAAGAATATTAAAATGCTACATAATTAGAAACTTGTGATTATCTACACAAACATAGAATATGAAGTCAATTTGGATTTTTAAAAAGGTGCTTGGTTGGGAAGAGTTTAATAAATTGATCAGCTGTTTCATTGTTTTGAAAGAGCCTTGGTGATTTGTTAAAGTATACAGAGTGAAAAGCATTGTTAAGGTATTAAGTCTTGTTAACTTTTAGAGACTGATCTCTCTCGCCACAAATCTTGGAACATATTTGCTATACTTAAAATAACTACCGTCTAATTTTTCGCATAATAGTCCAAGCATGTGACAATATGAAATATCTGATAGAAATATAGGAATTAAATGATTGTTTTTGTGTTTCCTGTGCCAGCTTTCCTGGTTTACAAGGCAGCCAGTTTCAGAATTGCTTCATTGATAGTTTTCTTGGAGACACCAAGATGCCCTTATTTTCATAGTCACTAAGTATGTCAGATGAATATACAAGATTGGGAATAATTGTAGGAGTGATTTAGATTTCAAGAATGAAATTACTTTAGGGAAAAAAATGCATAGATGGTTTTTAAACATTGAAACATTCATTTCTTTTTTTTTTTTTTTTGAAACCGAGTTTTGCTCTTGTTACCCAGGCTGGAGTGCAATGGCGCGATCTCGGCTCACCGCACCCTCCGCCTCCTGGGTTCAGGCAATTCTCCTGCCTCAGCCTCCTGAATAGCTGGGATTACAGGCACACACCACCATGACCAGCTAATTTTCTGTATTTTTAGTAGGGACGGTTTCACCATGTTGATGAGGATGGTCTCGATCTCTTGACCTCGTGATCCACCCGCCTCAGCCTCCCAAAATGCTGGGATTACAGATGTGAGCCACCGTGCCCAGCCCCTTAAACATTGATTTCTAATACCTGATAGTGGATGTGGGGCCTTAAAATATTTTAAAATGTTTTCTGGAGCAGCATTCATCTATCTGAAACCTATAATAATGAATGAAAGAAGAGCATGTCATCAAATTTAACCTTGATCGCTGATTTTGGTACTTCCTGATTTAGTTTTGGAACAGAAGAGAGGAGTATGATTGAAGGGAACTTTTTGAGCACCTGCTGTATATACCTTTTAACTGTATTCACATTTCTCTCATTTGTGTAAATAGCAATTATTAAGTTAATCTTAAAGAAGAAATTCTTGTGCTTTCCATTTAATAGGATAACATTCAAGGGAATGATTTTAATTCAGGTGTGTCAGAGTCTTGTTCTTTTTGTACTGTACCATATTTCCTCCATTTAACTTCTTTCAGCCTTAATGCCTAAAGGTTTTAGGTGAAAGCACCTAGCATAGTCCATGAGGTATAATAGGTATTCAGTAAATGTTTTCTTTTTTTCTCAGACAGGTTTTTGGAAATTGTGTATCACTTGTGGACTTTTAAACACTAGGAAACACAGTTTGTTTTCTGTGCTTTCCTTTAGGTTTGGTAAAAGGGTTGGAGTTCTCCCTTTTTGTATAGTTAACATGAGAACTATCTTTATATTGGCACCTATAAAATAAGAACATTTTCAAAATCTAAAATACGCAGTGAGAAGAATGGCCATGTTGAACGTTTATTTCAAGTCTTAATGTTTGGCTTAAGACAGCTGAATTCTCATCTATTTCTGCAGTCAGTCTTTTGTGATACGCTTGGTCAAAGTATGTGAAGAATATCACAGATAGG